GGTTGACACTGAGTGGAGCCCATGGGAGAGTGCTTTCTTTTGCTACCTATAGGCCCCAGGCACACAGGCCGGATATCGCGGGGGGGAGACGTGGCTAATTGCCCCGGCACAGTTTGATCCGCGATTACACGATCAGACGTGCTGGCGGCACAGCACGGGTCCTTCCCTCGGTGGCAGCAGGTAAACGAGGGACCGGAGGGGAATGCCGCGCGCTGGCGCGATCACACCATGGTCGTCTGGAGGCAGCCCGTGGCAAACGTTTACTAGTACCTTGGAGGTACTAGTTTTTAAATGCACATTGTCGGCAGTAAGCCACGGGTGCGCTCCACTTCCCAGAAGTTGGGGGGTGATCGCGCCTGGATAATACGCCCACCTTCCGTGCCTCTCCCGCGGCAACTTTGCCATGTGACCAGGGCCTAAAATCACCTTTTGCTACCAGTGCTTCCATTTTCTGCTTGTATGATTGGATATGGTTGCTGCTTGTAGAATGGGTTGTTCAAGAAATTGTTTTATTATTGTTATTATTATATTTATCTTTGCTCCCTTGCCACCCTAGGGTTACCAACCTCCAGGTGGTGGCTGGAGACCTCCTGGGAGGGGAGACTTGTCTTGGCAGTAGTATGTGCGAAAAGGATCTAGGGGTCTTAGTAGACCATACACTGAGCATGAGTCAGCAGTGTGATGTGGTTGCTAAAAAGGCAAATGTGATTTTGGGCTGTATCAACAGACATATAGTGTCCAGATCACGTGAAGTGATGGTATTGCTTTACTCTGCTCTGGTTAGACCTCACCTAGTGTTCAGTTTTGGGCACCACAATTTAAGAAGGATACAGACAAGCTGGAATATGTCCAGAGGAGGGCAACAAAGATGTCAAGGGGTCTGGAGACCAAGTCCTATGAGAAAAGGTTTAAAGAGCTGGGTATGTTTATCCTGGAGAAGAGACGACTGAGAGGTGATATGATAACCATTTGTCAAGTACTTGAAGGGCTATCATATAGAGGATGGTGTAGAGTTGTTTTCTGTTGCCCCAGAAGGTCAGACCAGAACCAATGGATTGAAATTAAATCAAAAGTGTTTTCGGCTAAACATTAGGAAGAGCTTCCTGACAGAGTGGTTTCTCAGTGGAACAGGCCTCCTCGGGAGATGGTGGGCTCTCCTTCTTTGGAGGTTTTTAAACAGAGGCTCAGTGGCCATCTGACAGCAATGCTGATTCTATGAATTTAGGCAGATCATGAGGAGGGAGGCCAGGAAGGGTTGCATCAGTGCTTTGTTCTTGTGGCCCTTTCTTACTCACTCAGGGAAATGCTGATCACCACTTTGGGGTCAGGAAGCAATTTTTCTCCAGGCCAGTTTGGCCAGGGATCCTGGTGGATTTCCCCCCCACCATCTTCTGGGCATGGAACAGGGGTCACTGGGGGTGTGGGGGGAGGGTGTGTGGGGAGGTATTTGTGAATGTCCTGCATTGTGCAGGGGGTTGGACTAGATGACCCTGGAGGTCCCTTCCAACTCTATAATGCTATGATTCTATGACAGGCTGAGTAGCATGTGGGTAGGAGTCTAAGGTGTGACTAGTGGCAGGGAAGAGCAACAAGAACAGAGAATGAGACGTGACCCTGAAATACCCTGGGTAGAGGGTGCTTCTAGGGCCAGCTCTATGAAACTATAAAGGTAAAGGTAGAAGTTTCCCAATGGCAAACCACCTCCGCTTCCCTGAGAGCCAGTTTGGTGTAGTGGTTAAGTGTGCGGACTCTAATCTGGGAGAACCGTGTTTGATTCCCCACTCCTCCATTTGCACCTGGCTGGATGACCTTGGGCAAGCTGTAGTTCTGATAAGAGCTGTCCTTGAAAAAAAGCAGTTTCTGTCAGAGCTCTCTCAGCCCCACCTACCTGTGGGGAGGGGAAGGGAAAGGAGTTTGTAAGCTGCTCTGAGACACCTTTGGGTAGTGAAGAGTGGGGTATAAATCCAATCTCTTCTCCTTCTTCTTGCTCGAAAGCCAGTCAAATCCAACTCAAGGGGGCGGTGCTCAGCTCCATTTCCATGCCAAAGAGCCAGTGCTGTCCGAAGATGTTTCCATGGTCATGTGGCCGGCATGACTCAATGCCGAGGCGAACAAAATGCTGTTACCTTCCACTAAAGTGGTACCTATTTATCTACTTGCAATTTCTTGCTTTCGAACTGCTAGGTTGGCAGGAGCTGGGGCCAGAGACGAGAGCTCACTCCATCACGCGGCACTAGGGTATCAAACTGCCGAACTACAGTCTGCAGCTCAGCGTCTTAACCTCTGAGCCACCACAGCCTCTAATGGGGGATTAATAATTATTTTGTCAAAACGGCTTGTATGTTACGACTGAAATTCTGTGGGTGGCAAGCTCATGCAGTGCAGTTATATGTGTGTGCAGCTATGGGTACAGAGCAAGGATCTTACTATTGTGAAGGAGACAGATGCATATAGAATGCAATTTGGTCCCTGTAATATGCATGCAGGGAGAGAAAGCAGCATGGTATAGCCTGATCCCATCAGATCTTGGAAGCTTAAGCAGTAGAAGGGAGACCACCAAAGAAGGCTCTGCAGAGGAAAGCAATGGCAAACCACCTCTGCTTCTTACTTGCCTTGAGAGCCCCTTGCTGAGGTTGCCATAAGTCAGATCAGCCTCGAGGCCAGAAATTTGGGGTTGGTGGGGCATGGGAAAATTTTGTGGGGCAGCAGGGGTGGGGGGCGGGGTGGCCACATGCCTTCCCTGAACTCCAAGTGGCCCTTCCGCCATTTGGAGTTCAAGCATGGGCAGACCCTGCTTGGAAAACACTATTTAAAGGGAACCATTTAAATGGGGTTTTTTTTCAAGTGGGGGGTGACCCCTGCCTGAACTCCAAGGGATGAATTCACCCCTTGGCGTTCAGGGAAGGCACGCGGCTGCCCCTCTCCCTTGCAGGAGGTGAGGGAGCGGGGTGGCTGCCGGTTGCATGCCCTCCCTAAACTCCAAGGGGTGAATCTGCCACTTGGCATTCAGGGAAGGCGTGCAGCTGCCCCTCTCCCTCCCTTCCTGCAAGATTTAAGGGCCCTCCAGCTGATGGGCTGGCCACGTTCTCCTGTCACTCAGCTGGAGGGCCCTTTTAATGTCTCAGGAGGGAAGGGAGGGGGAGAGGGGCAGCAGCTATTGTGGGGTGTGCCTCACATTTGAGGGGGCAGAGGCCCAAAATGCCCCCCATAGCTACAGGCCTGAGTGAGATGCTACTTGATGGCACTTTATACACACAATATGCATGCAACCAGCAGCTTCAGCCCATACTAATCTCCTAATCACTGACACTCTGGATGAACAACTGTAGGACTAGAGTGGGCCAAGTATTATTTATGCTGAAAGTGACGCTTTTGGGCTACTTTTCAAAGGAAGCAGTCAAAGAAGGTGTGCCTGGCCAGGCATCTGCCCTTGTTTCAGCCTCACAATGTGCTTCTAACACAGTTCAGCCACTGACAGTATAGTTGTATGCATTGGGGTTGCCAGGTCCCTCCTGGCCACTGGCAGGGGACTGGGGGGGGGGAGGATTGCCAGATCCAGGGTGGAAAATTCCTGGACATTTGGGGATGGAGCTTGGGGAGGACAGGGATCTCAGTGGGGTATAAAAGCCATAGAGTCTACCCTCCAAAGCATCCATTTTCTCCAGGGAAACTGATCTCTGTAGTCTGGAGATGAGCTGTACTTCTGGGGGATCCCCAGGTCCCACCTGGAGGCTGGCATCCCTACTATGCAGAGATGTTCTAGATTAAGCCTACTGATTTCAGCTGAGTTAGACTGGAGTAACTCTACATAAGGTTGCACTGTTACATTGTCACAAGTGCACCAGTGACTGCACGTAATTGCACCTCCAAATGCATCAGTCGGTGGCTTGAGGGGCAACTGATCCACCAAATCCTGGGTTGTTTGCATATAAACATGGCCAATGTGGATCTTTGCATGATGCATGAATCTGAACAAACATAGATGTATTCAGGATTTGAGGAACTCATCTGTAAAGTGGAAAAGAACATAACTTGGAAATGCTTCCCATGTGACATCAGAAAGGACAAACAGCACCAAGGAATGGCAAAGATAAATATGGTAGGACATATAAAGTTTTCATTCATTCTGCTAATTATGGACATAAGAGTGCTTTAGACTGAGAGCTTAGAAGCTGGAAGTCCCGAGTTTCTTGAATGATCTTGAAAAAACACAGCAACAAATGCTTGTTGACTCCATCTCCTCGAATGTGCTAATTACACGTTTTGATCCAATTGCCCTGCACCCTGATGCATTATTATACCACCAACTTCTCTGCTTCTGCACTACAGTCTAACTGCAAGGTCCTTGGGGCAGGAGACAGAAACCTCTTCTGCATTTGCACTGTGATGTGTCTGGAGTCTGTGCCTGGCTGCTGGCAGATACTAACAATGAATCTATAAAACATTAGCCCACCTGGTGTAGGCAGCCTGGATCTTCTCTGAAGTGAAACTTGATGCTTTTCAGCAAAGACACACCTCTTTCAGGGTGTTGTGCAAATTTCTCTATTTTAAACGAAGGGACAGGAAATATGAAATGGGACGGCCAGGATCCAAAGTGACGCTGTCACTTGGGCCGAAGTTTATCAACTCTTGACAAAGAGCAAATTAGATGCTTGTGATGGAGCTGTTGCCACGAGCACCCTGAATTGTGAGAAGGTTGGACATTTGGGGAAGTTGCTGCCTGTGCACTAGCAGGTTTTTACAGCATAGACATTGCTCCTTCTGTCTGGAACAGCTCTGCAGGGCTTTTTTTTCTTCCCTTTTTGCTTCTCATGCTTGATTATTTCCTGACTGTACAGTGGGATGGGTCTGTTGCAAAAGATTCTGGTTCCTTTTGTTGGATTGGTCTTGGCCCTCTGGTTTTATTCAGGAAAGGAAGATTTTAAACCGGGTAAGTTATTTAAAGCAAAGCATTTTAAAATAAAGCAGGGGGGAGGGGGGGAGGAAGGGAGCCACGCTGGAATGGTTTTTTTACACAGGAACTGGTGCACAGCCTAAAATGAAACATGTCTGGGCGTTTCTTGCATTGCTGATAATAGAAGGCTTTGCTTGGCAAGGCTTTGAAATGACATCAAGCAACAGGCAGGAATATTTTTTCAGCAAACAGGTGAGGTGGGAGGTTTGCCACTTGGATTCTCCAAGAGGCTTTGATAGCCTGTCCGTTTGGAAAGGATTTCACTTTGTACAAATGACTTGAAGTGAGTGGGGAAGTTATTTTACAGTCTGATTGCTTAAAAACTTTTGAAAAGTAGAATGCATAAAGTGGCTAAAAATAAACATGTCTCTTTGTTCAATTAGATTATAAAATATAAGCGTCTCTCTTGGCACTGCTCTGTGTCCGGTTGGAATGTTAGCAATTCTTGTTTCTGCTGATTTCTTGGGAGGAAAGCAGGGGTTGGATTGGAGGGCTGTTGGGAGTGGGCAGTTGATTTGCAGGCTGGAATGGCTGGGTATCCTCTTCTGTTTCTTGCCCTTCAGAGATTTATTGGGGGGGGGTTACTTTGCGGGTTCGGCATCCCTGTGTCTTGTGTTCCAGAAATGCTGCAAGGGAAGCGTGTGATTGTTACTGGGGCAAGCACAGGAATCGGCGAACAGATGGCGTACCACCTGGCACACATGGGTTCCCACATACTGATCACTGCGCGGACAGAAGCCAAGCTCCAGAAAGTAAATGTCAAATGCTTATATATGCATGTTCTTCATCAGGCACATTCTTGTAGAGGCACATGTACAGACTCCCTTCTAGTCGTATCTGTAAATACCTATGAAGTACTTATTCGCATTCCTGAAAACTGGGACAAATGTGTGCATGCCAGTGGTGGTAACTTGCCAGATCCAGCATCCAAAAAAGAAAAGAAAAGCAAGTCCCTAGCTTTGCATACTTTGTAAATATTCAGAGATCAGCAGATTGAATAGGATGCCTGAACTGCATTGTGATGCATGATGTTACCTCTCCACTTTCTGACACAGCACTGCTCCTTCTGGATTAGAGTTCATGACAGCTGAGTGGTCCAAAAAAGATGCAGCTACTGAAAGGGGATGGATTGTCATCATGGTAGGCAGGACAACATTGTGACAGTCATCTTTTTAAAGGGTATTTTTTTAAAAGATCAAACTGCCTGTCCAAAAAAACTGCCCAAGGCAATGTACCATAGAACACATAAATTCAGGCACAGAAGCAGCAGCAGCAGCAAATGGAATAAATTCATGAAACAGAAATACAAGCCCCTGTTTGGCACATCTAAAATATACATAAATCAGGCCATCTGGCATCCTTAGTTGGGGGTTATATTTATGGGATATCATATATGCATCAGCATTTTTGAATGCCATCTCTCAATTTTGATTTCACTCTGAACTTTTTAACTCTTGGTATTCATGCTCGTTTTTATGTCTATGTGTACCAGTTCTGGCCAGCTAAGGCACAAAGATGGATGGATGGGGGGGGGCATAAACACAGTAAGAAAGGAAAGGTAGGGAAGTGATGAGGAAACAAAAGTATTAGAGGATGGCAGCAGCTGGAGAAGGAGGGGGGCTTATTTGCCCCTCCTTAGCCTGAGTCCTGGCACAAAAAGGAACTGTGTTATGGACAAGTTTGTTCCACCCCCACAACCTTTTTCCCCCATGTCAGGCCATTCTCCCAGCTTGGAATGCTCCCTTTAAGCTGTGGAGTCTTGTGAGCAAAAATTCTACTTTGTGAAGCTACTGGCATTAAAGTTGTGAGCGAGCGATTTGGCTACTGCATAAATTAGTTTGCTCTGGAGCCGTCCTTCCTGAGATAAGACAAAAATATGGAGGCTAAAAAACTGTGAGCTAGCCCACACTAACTCAGTTTAGAGGGAATACGGCTTGGCAGTATTTTGTCTACTAACCCCTGCACAAAGGATAAAGGTCTGCAGTAGGGGAAGCCATCGGCAGGATATGGTCATCATGCCTGGTTGAAACCAGCCTGGTGTAGTGGTTAGGGGGTAGACTAGGATCTGGGAGGGGCTTAGTTTGTATCCCCACTCTGTCATGAAGCTTACTGGGTGACCTTGGGCCAGACACTCACTATCAGGCTAACCTGCCCTAAAGGGTTGTTGTGAGAATAAAATGGAGGCAAGGAGAACAATATAAGCCACTGGGGAGAAAGGTGAGATATGGATGAAGTAAATAAATAAATAGAGCCATTGCTATAGCCGCATTGTTATCCTACAGTGTTATGAGCCAGGAGATCTTGCTGTTTGGTGCTAAAGACTGGCTTTACCTGTAGTGTTTCAGGCACAGACTTGTACAGCTACAACTCAACCCCATCCCCAACCATGTCTGGAAAGTCTAATTCTGCCCCACTTGCCAAGGAGTCCCTCTCAACAATGAATGAAAACATTTAAATTGAGGTCTATGAAGTCATGCTTCAGCATAATGATTACATGAGAGTTTGTTCTGAATGACCAAATTTCTCCTGATAAAAAAATCAATGAGCTACAAGGATCTGCTAGGGTTTCTATCTAATATGGGGAAAATTTGGAATAAGTGGTTTCAGGTCCAGTATTTCCATCAACTTGCAGAAAGGATGAGAAGAAGAATGTTGTAGATTAGCTACTGTAATGCCTAGCAATTTTTATGTGTGACTAGAATTTAAACTGCCATTGTCTGTAATATAAACAAGAAGCAAAAATCCAGGTCCCAAGTAACCATTGTTATCTGTTGCACCTGGCAATTTGTCCCATGGTTGCTGCAGACATTTCTCCAATTTGGATCCTAGAAAAACTGATTAGTTCCAAAGATTTGCTCATTTTGTATACTCCTAATTATAGAATTAGTATCAATATATCTAATTCTAAATGTGACCAAATCTGTGTACTTAAATCTGGAGAATGGAGCCATGAACAGACAATAAATATCTTTCTTTGGACATGAGGGAAACCTCAGGTTTGCAGAAAAATCTGAAACCTTTAAAAAATATTGGGAGGTTAACCCGCCCCATGATAAAAAGAGTGCCTGTAGCTTCAAGAAACAGATGCCCTCAGTGGCTGATGCTAGGCAACCACAGTAGTTTTGCCAGCATTCCAGGAGGAGGAGGAGCCCTTTCCAGGGTTGTTTTGGTCTTTCAGGGAGCCAAGCCTGGCAGCAACCACTGGGTGACTTGTTACCAGGGCTATTTTTGGGCAGGAATGGGTCAGGAATGCACAGGAACTAAGTTCCGGCTGGCTTCAGAGTTGGCCACACCCATTACAGCCAAAACCTCTGTGTGCGTGCCTACAGAGGTAAGGCCGGGGGACGCCCCCCCCCCCCCCCGGCAACTCCGGGGCAGGCGAGCCAGGGGGACCCCTGGAAGGATCGTGGAGGCATAAAAAAGCCCTGCTTGTTACCATCTGACTTGCACAACTCACTCAAGTCCAGCTGCTTGCCACAGTTCAATATTTGCCACTCCTACAAAAGTCAGTAGTGTAGTGGTTACAGCTTCAGACTTAGATCTGGAAGACCCAGGTTCAGAAGACCATTCTGCCAATGGAAGCCCACTAGGTGGTCTTCGGCCAGTCACATGCTCTCAGCCCAACCTACCTCACAGCATTGTTGTAAGGATAAAATGGAGGAGAGAAGGATGTTGTAAGTTACTTTAGATCTTCATTGTGGAGAAAATAAAGTAAATAAATAATAAATATAGCTGAAGATGGGAGGCAGATAAAGGCTGGTTGGTGTATTTCTGAGGAGAGCAAGAGGATAACAGAGAAAGAGGAGAAGATATGGGGGTTGCCAGGAGGAGAGATACAAGAGAAAGTGAGGTGTGTCCCCTACAAGTTCTTGCAGGCTCTCTGCCATACAACCAGGCCTGGCCCAGCTGCTGGCATCACACAGCTGGACCATAGTTTTTTTTCTGGGTATAAGCTGTCTGAAGCTGAAGGTGGGGACAGATAAAGATAGGGTGGGAGGGAAGGAGAGAAGGAAGAAAGGGGGGAAAGCTATAGGTGCTTTCAGGGAAGAGAAAGAAGAAATAGTGAGGGAGGGGGAAATCAGATGCTCTCCACAAGTCCTTGCAGGTTTGTTGCTTATAAATTATAGTAATATTTTTCCATGGTTTACAACAATTTTTAAAGACTGATATGACTCTCACAGGAGGTGCTAAAGAATCACTAGAATGTATTAAAACCTTGACACCATACCCTAAGTTTCATGTTGATTCTACTAAGGGAGAAATTCAACATTCTTCCAGCTGGAAATTTTTTCAAAGCTGCATTTTCCAGTGGAAATTCCCCACTGATAATACTGATCCATTAAGCAGACAGACCAAAAATGTGCTGCTAAGTGTATACTTGTAAACTGAACTACCCAGCTGTTTCTTTGCAGTGCAGCATAGGAATTTAATTTGGGTGGGAGGGAGGGGCTGAAAAGGCATTGGGCCTCCAGAAACCTTGTTTTCTCTTTGTTTCAGGTTGTCACTCGATGCCTGGAATTGGGCGCGGCATCAGCCAGCTACATGAATGGCAGCATGGAAGACATGGGGTTTGCTCAGGATGTGGTAAAGAAAGCAGAGGCATTATGGGGTGTGCTGATTTTTTAAGTTGGAATATTCAGTGTCAAAATGCCTGTCATCATAGCAGTGGAAATTATGCTCATTAACATGATAAAGAAGGCTACCCAGGAATCTGCTGTACTGTTGCCATGTATTGTTAGAGGTTCACAAACCTATGTTATTGATTACAGTTCTAATTGAAAATGGAATTTGGAGCCTCCTAAGAGCCCAAGTACAAGCCTGCAACTGGAGGGACTCCAAATTTACCTAAGAGTTTGGCATCAGTGTGAAGATTAGACATATATACATGATCTGGATAGACCTGTAATAAAATCCATAATTCATTGGATTATCCATATACATCTCAACCCATTGTCCCATATACAATTGACTTTCCTTGTATCGGTTGCTGGTGGAAACAAAGCCTTCGCCCAAGGAGGTGTAATCCAGGGGTTATTGTCTCACAGTTATTATTATAGTGCTTTTGTATTGGGATGATAATCAGTGGGCTCAGGAACTCTTGGGCAGGATAGAGAAACCATGGTAGTGACACTTCTGGATCTCACACTGAGCTGCTTCCATGGAAGTAAGCAGGCAGAGGAACCCAGCAGATGCTGCCATTTGCTCAGGCAGCCTGGGAACATTGAGAAGGGGTAGGTCTATGCACTCCTTAACAGATGCTTGGATTGGATAGAAGTAGGACACCTTCTTACAGCTCAAGACAGCATCTCTTGCCAGGTGCTAATGACTTATTCAAAGGCTTACAGACTGCATGTGGGGGTAGGTAGTGGGTTTCCTACTTTTCTTTCTTAGCCTAAACTACAACCCCCCCCCAGCTCTATTGTGTAGTTGAATCTTATACTGCTGAAAGCATCTATCATCACTTATTATCCCAGCTTTTGCGACAGAACCCGTCATTCCTAGCAGAGCTATCCAAAAATTGATGGTGGGGTATTATAAATAGGATATAGATACCCTTCAGTATAATCACCTGTCAAATTCATAGATTGTTCTCCAGAACTTTGTAACTAAGAAATCCCTGTCACTTGGTCTCTTTTCCTAATGAATATCCATCAGGAATTTCAGGATCTAGGAGGAGGAAAAAGATAGCAAAGCTGTAAGAGTGTAAATTGATGACATCAACGCTGTGTAGTAGGCATGGCACTTCTGCAAAGCAGATTCTCACCTTCTGAGATGTCTCTGCTGTTGTGCCACCTATCCCTTCCTCCACATACAGAGTTTCAGTATAGCAGATAGGAAGTATAAGATTATGCATGGGAAAGAGCAGGTAGAGAAAGAGGTACTTTTCTCCCTTTCTCACAATACAAGAACCCGTGGGCACTCCATGAAATTGCTGAGCGGTCGGGTTAGAACGGATAAAAGGAAGTACTTCTTCACCCAAAGAGTGATTAACACTTGGAATTCACTGCCACAGGAACTGCTACTTAGCTGAAAGGCAAGTTCACTGGAAACCAAGAGAAAATGTTACCCTGTGGAATAACGAAAGGCATGAAAATGAGCCAAAAAAACCCATCACAGAGATTCCAGGATCTAAAAGGATTCAATGAGGATCAGAAAGGGGGCAGATGTCAAGAATCAAAAGGATAAGCAAATTGAACTGACAAATCAAAGCACTTCCAGTAAAGCCAAGAGCTTCTTGTGTCTAGAAGAGGAGCGTCTGGCCAATATTTGGATAAGGATCTTTCCTTTATACATTTTTAGTAATTCTGAAATTCATTTTCTGCAAGATCAAGCAACGTACAACCCCATCATATACAAATCAACAACAAAATACTACCAACTATAAAATAATTATTTAAGTGTGCATATAGCACAAGTTGGAGTTTCAGTATTAAGGCTGGAAAACTGTAAAAACAGCCACATAGCATTCAAATGCCCCCCAAAGTCTGGCAGAACAAACACTGGTTGGCATGCTCTCAAGGTCTTTTAAAGCAGAATGTGGCCTCTGAAACTAAGGATATTGAGGAGAAAGGGGATTCATACAGAGATATGGCGGGAGCAAAATATGCATACCCTTTCTCTTAATCTTACAATTGGTATAGTTACAGTAAGCGCAAAGGAAAGGGGTTAACAGTGTTTTAATTAATAGAGTATATAGCATTTTGCTCTGGTAAATTGCACAACTTTCTTTGAATCACTCACTGTATATTTCACTTTCTCCAGTGGTGATAGTATGTGGTAAATAATTATCCTTATGCGTACAGAGTCTTCACATGAAAGGACTGTCAGATCCCCCTGTTTTGTGTATATAATTTGTAGTATGTGATCAGAGAGTAGCCAGGATTAATACATGCCATGCACCCACCCTAGAAGTCCTGTAAAGCCATATAAAGTCATGGCAAGCTACAAACTATGCAAACCCAGTTTTGTAACTTCTAGGTAGGCTGAAGTCCTGGTATTTTAGAAAATATGCAGAATTTCTAGGGTAGCTAATCAGAATAATGGCTGTATCATGTTGTCCTCTACCAGCCAGACTTAAACAATTCCTACCTCTTTCCTTCTCAGGAAGTATAGATATGCTTATTCTGAATCACGTCACCGCTATGAACCTCAGTTATTTCCACAGTAACACTGAAGAGATGCAGAAACTCCTCAATGTCAACTTCCTTAGCTATGTGGCTATGACAACTGCAGCTCTTCCAATGCTCAAGAACAGTGAAGGCAGCATCGTAGTGGTTTCATCCCTGGCAGGTAAGCATGAACTGCAATTGTATGAGTTGATCCTCAAAAGCCTTCAAACTTTTTTTTTTTATAACTACATTTGTGATCTGACCTGGATAGCCCACAGTAGCCCCATCTCGTCAGATCTCAGAAGCTAAGCAGGGTTGGCCCTGGCTGGTATTTGGACGGGAGACCACCAAGGAATACCAGAGTCACAACACAGAGGCAGGCAAAGGCCTCTGAATGTCTCTTGCCTTGAAAACCCCACAGGGTTGCCATAAGTCAGCTGTGACTTGATGGCAATAACAAACGGGTGTTCACATGTATTTTTTGTCTATTGCACTGTCAACTAGCTGCAGGCAAGATATATACCCAGTGTATACACCCAGCAAAACAAAAATGTACACAATCACTGAATACGAAAACCATCACACAATTCTCAGGCATTGGGTTAGATCCAGCCAGCTTTTTCACTGAATCTTTCCCAATTCCCTTCCTTATTAAAAACCCCTGTCATATGTGGGTTTTATTCATGCAGGACCCATTGTTACATGTAAAATTGGTCTGAGTGTTTCTTGATGCTGTCCTACATCACAGGGCTGACCTGCAGCAAGTAGTTCTACCAGTTAACATTGCACCAGAGTAGAGCTGCCAAGCTCTCAAGGGAGTTCTTCTCAGAGGGTCAAATTACACAGCCACCCCTAGTTAGAAAGAGGGGGCATCCGTTCCCACTCTGAGAACATCAGGCTCATGCACTGTTGGGAAGTTCCCACTCACGCAAAGATTAGTAGAAACAAGTTTTCAATGAATACATAGTTTATTCATCAATAGACAAACAACAGGCTGTTAGCAAGTCCCCCCATCCTCCCACAATGCAAGAGGCCAAAGCAATAGACTCCCACAACCACAGAGACAAGGTATACCTGACAGAACAGTATGGTGCCTGGGGTCAGATGGGCTAGCTGGCAGAATCTCCTCAGGATGAGAAGAGGTTGACCCTTTTCTGCACAAAAGGCTCCCTTCTTATAGGGCATTCCAACTAACAGTCCTGTGGAGCTGCACTATGTCACCTTGAACACAAGTAACCATGTTAATGGCTACATATTCTGCACGTTCTGTACATGTTGCCAGTGTTCTGGCAGATAGGACAGGGCATACCCTTCTTTGAGTCTTATTTATTTATTTTATTAATTTGTATCCCGCCCTCCCCGCCATATATGTGTATATTTTCATAGGGCAGGTCTTTTGGGGGTCTGATTCTTCTGCAACAAACAACTGACTTTTGAGGGTGATAAGCCAGTCCTCTGGCTATCTCTAGCTGTTGCAATAAGATACACTTGTTCCTGGAAGAAGCGGGCAGGCTTTGCACTTCTTAGAAAGGCAGAGAGGCCTGGGTGTTTCTAAAATGGCTACACCTTAGTTAACAAAGAAGCTTAGGTAAAGCATAGAAAATAGCTCAGAAATGCAGTAGTGGTTTTCATATCTATCACCCTGATTCCTGCTATAGCCTTCGTAGTGGTCAAAGAGGACTCCCTCCTCCCTTTTGCACCAGTAGAAAAGCTGGATGTATTGAACCCATTTTCTTACATTTCCTGCAGTCCTCTGAAGGAAAAACATGACATCTGAAACAGCTGGAGTAGCCAAGTCCCCTTGGCCACCAGCAAAAGGGGGGGGGGGTGTAGGATTGCAAGATCCAGGTTGGAAGGAAATTCACAAATAGCTCTCTCCACACCCCCAGTGACCCCTGTTTCATGCCAAGAAGATGACAAAAAAACCTCCAAAATCCCTGGCCAAACTGGCCTGGAGAAAAATTGCTTCCCAGCCCCAAAGTAGCAATCAGCATTGGCATCCGGCCCCATCACTCCTTGGCAAATAGAAGGGGAAGTCGTGGAAGTAGTGAAAGACTTCACATTCCTGGGATCACAGATCACCGCAGACTGTGACAGCAGCCATGAAATTAAAAGATGCCTGCTCCTTGGGAGGAAAGCGATGGCGAACCTAAACAGCATGATAAATAGTAGAGACATCTCCCTGCCAACAAAAGTCCGTATGATCAAAGCAATGGTATTCCCAGTAGTCATGTATGGCTGCGAGAGTTGGACTATAAGGTGCTGGAGAAGACTCTTGAGAGTCCCTTGGACTGCAAGAAGTTCAAATCAGTCAATCCTAAAAGAAATCAACCCTGTTCCCTGGAAGGCCAGATAATGAAACTGAAGCTCAAATACTTTGGCCACCAAATGAGAAGGGAGCACTCACTGGAGAAGACCCTGATGCTGGGAAAGATTGAAGGTCAAAGAAGACGGGGACGGCAAAGGATGAGATGGTTAGACAGTGTCATAGATGCAAGGAACATGAAATTGAGTGAACTTCAGAGGACAGCAGGAGACAGGAGGGCCTGGCGTGACCTGGTCCATGGGGTCGCGAAGAGTCGGACTCGACTGTGCGACTGAACAACAACAAAATAAGAAATGACCATGAGAACTAAGCACTGATGCAACCCTTCCTGCCCTCTCTCTCATGATCTGCCTCTCATGTTGATGGAACATTCATAATATTCATAATGTACCTTTGTGAGGTAGGCCATAAGCAGTACTGTAGTATCTTGGGTCAGAGTAGGAGGCCAGTGACCATAAGTATGCATAGCCTCCACAAACCATAAAACTGAAAGCAGCATGGGTGTTGGTTTCTTCCATGTACTGCAATCTTATGTTGCAGGCATGCATGTGTGAATAATATAACCATTTAGCTGAGAGCTCCTTGCATGGATCTTTCCTAGGAGGGAGGATGCCAACTGGGAAACACTCATGTGATCTGCTCAATCCACATGGTAGTATTAGTTAAGCATACTCCACTACAGCATGGCATTGTATCACATGGAAGCAATTTTCTTGCTTCTAGATGTCTATGTGAAGGGTGCCTTTGTAGTGGCTCAATGCAAATGTTATGGTCTCCTATGGAGAAGCCACTGAAAAACACCTTATCAGAAGGGAGGGCAGGGGTCTCACAAGTGGCACCACATCATCAGACTCAAACATAAGGTGAGCCACTCTCACATATTACTGTTCCCAATGTGCAACTGCTCCTCATATTACCCATGCTGGACCAGTGTCTGTACTGCTTATAGCCAGTGTACGGCGGGTAGGGAAAATACCTGAACAATTGACCTCTTTACTGTTAGTGTAGCAGTCTTCATTATTTGTCTAGAAGGTATTAGATACAACAGTAAAGCCAAACAGTTTACTTCACTTTGGAAACACCTGATGAGAAGGACTTTGCAAGAACCATGAAGAAAAGAAGGACAATTTCAAGAAGTGTTTTCAGATTAGTGGCAGAAGAGTGATGGTGGCAAGCACAGATGTAGAGGCTCAGGGTCCCACCCCCGTGTCCAAGCTCCATCCCCAGGCAGACTCTTAATGCCATCCACATCCCTCCAGGCTTCAGCTCAAGAGCGGGTTTGTGGACACGCTTGACTTCCTCCTCCCACAAGCTCTTGCCATACACAATATGTAGCATCAAGCTGGTCACATCCCCTCCAACCTATTCCCAAAACATTTTAAAGTATGTGTGGCAAACCACACATGCTCTCTTCTGTTTCCTGGAATCTTGTGAGATTACCTCACAAGATGCCAGGACTGGGGAAATCACAGGCAGTGCCCACAGCTGACATACACTGGGTTAGATTCCTGGGGCGATTTTGCACTAGAGCTGCCTTGCAGCGCAGCCGCCGTTTGCCCCGACACAAACATGTCAATTTCACACCCGAAGCTGTGGGGCTGCATTTTGACTCGCGGCTTCGCCTGATTTCCTCCGCAGTTTCGTGATCCTGGTTTTTGAGGATCACGAAACTGCGGAGGAAATCGGGCAAAGCCGTGGGTCAAATGCAGCCCGGCAGCCTCGGGTGTGAAATTGACAAATAGTGTCGGGGCAAACGGTGGCTGCACCGTGAGGCAGCTCTAGTGCGAAATCGCCCCTGGTTACTGCCCTCCAACACTAGCAAAGACACTTCAAAAGTACGCAATTTCTCCCCCTCCCACTTTAGCCAGTAGTTAGAGGCAGAGAAATACCCCCGTACAGAAGGGATATACAAAAATTTTTGTTGGAGGAAAGAGGGTTGAATGTTTTTGCTGTGAGCCTTTTCATTTCACCCATTTTCGTTTGTGGAGTTCTCTGTGTTACTTTTTATGGCTTTGTAATGCCATTTATATGCTATAGTCTGTTTATACCTAACTAATGCAAATATTAAAACACAAATAATGCAAATGGTATACATTTCAGGGGGGAAAGGTGCAAGGAAATGTAGAAGAAGAAGAAGGAGTCTCAGAGCAACTTACAAACTCCTTTCCCTTCCCCTCCCAACAACAGATACTTTGTGAGGTAGGTGGAGCTGAGAGAGCTCTGACAGAAACTGCTGTTTTTTCAAGAACTATGGCTTGCCCAAGGTCATCCAGCAGATGAAAATGGAGAAGTGGGGAATCAAACCTGGTTCTCCCAGATTAGAGTCCACGCACTTAACCACTACAACAAACTGGCTCTTTTATTTTTTATAATATTTCTGTGCCATCTCTTCAAAGTCATGCTCAAGGAAAGCTTACAATTAAAACACACAGTATTAACACAAACCATTAGACATAAGCAGCATAAAAACTATCCATAAAACAGAAGCAGAAGATAAGGCAAAGATCTTAATTAAAAGCCTGAGTAAAGAGATGTTCTAGCCTAGCACCTAGAAGAAAGTAAAGCAGGTGCCAGACAAACATCAAGGGGGAGGGTGTTGCAAAGGCTGGGTGACACCACAGAAAATCCCCTGTCTCTAGTTACCCCCAGTCTCACCACTGAATGTGTGTGCACAGAGACCAGGGCTTGTCTCACAGAGAAAAGTAAGCTAGTCGTGGAGAAAGGGGAGCAAAACCACTACCATCCCTCTGTGGTCAGGTTGCTCTTTTTCTGGATAACTGCAGTGGTGATGGTTTTATTCTCTCTCCTCTGTGTCCAGATTAGGCCCATTACACACACTCACATCTTACTGCAGACTTTCAGAGCAGTAAGCCTTTAATCTTGATTTTGGATTCTGTGCCCACCTTACGCACCATTCTCTTCCTCCGGTGTATTTATTCTGCAGCTACAATGGGGTGGAATATCACTTGTGACTTGTGAGGGGTGGCATCCAAAGTCTTTTTAAAAATTATGCAATTGCCCTATCGCAGCTACGCAGTAGTGTCCAACATGCACCTTCCATTTAAATCCTCGTGGTTCAGGTTTTATGCATGCATTTTAGTGTTAATTTGTTGAATGAAAGGGAACAGAAAGGAATGGAGGCAAAGGGGGGAAACCCACTATTGAAACTGTTAGAACTGGAGGCCTTTGCACTGTCTCATAGCCTCAGAGTTCAGAGGGGGCTACCAAAGAGTCAGAGAGAGAGATAGGCATAGGACACAGAGCATCCTTTCCTTTCTTCTCTACTGCATCCCTTTGAAATGTGGGTTGCTACTCTCAGGGAAGTTCCTTCCTTCCAGCTTGACACCTCTCTCTTGCACACATTGCCAGACTCTTCATCATGGCACCATGAGAGCAGGACACACATCTTGCATCTCTGGACTTCCAGCTAGTTAAATAAGTTTAGATAATGCTATCTCTCATCTTTCCTATCTAGAGAATGGAGTTTGTATAATAAACTCCTTATTAGTTTGAACCTGAGGAAGTCTCCATGAATCTTTTGTTTCAGACTTGCACACACGCAGCCTCAGCTAACCACATGGCTTGTGCTGTGCTTACAGTCTAGTATATTCTAAATTACAGGAGGAGGTTGGAATAATTTTCTAAGAGAAACTGACCAGACTTTTTCTGAAACTGACAAGCAGATGTGAAGCCCTATTTTCCATATTGCCAAACACTAGAGGATTCTCTGCTGTGTTATCAACCACTGTGAAAAATAGGAAAGAGTCACAGAATCTCATAATATGGGGGAACATGTTGGGTGTACAGAATGCATGGTAGAACCCACTGACACTGGCATTGCAGCCTGTGATCGTTGGCAATGTGTGCCTGTGTGTGCGTGCAATTTGTATGGGGGAGGAGTCCTCTGGCTTCCAGAGACTGCCAAAATGCCCCCCCCAACTTTGGCCCTGTTCACACGAGGCGTTTTGGGCCGGGAGAGGGATGGATCGGGGCCGCATCAAACGGGCGCGATCACACAGCAACATCTGGCAATCGTGCCGTGGCCGTC